GGTGGTAAATTATGATACCATATCATAACACCCTTTGATAGAGTTTCTCCGAATTTTTTCAGCAACACGGATTCAATCTCATCATCTTCCAAGTCATTTCCCTTAATGGCGCACGTATAAGAGGTGACGTGTTTGTTTGGATCTACCGTCCTGTTATACTTCAGAATCTCGGGCATACGGAACTTCTTCGAGATTGGCTTCGGAGCCGCACTCGGGGGCAAAGGTTTTTCGACAAACATTTTGGAATCTAGTCCTTTCAATACCGGTGGTGCCCCTAGGATCTGGTCGTCCCTAGAGTTATAAGTTTCCACCTTCTTATCATGTTCCTCGATCTTATTTTCCCCTGTCTCGATCCGCTTCGTCAGTTCCTCGAGCATTTTACGATAGCGGGATTAGTCTCCGATTCTCCTTCATTCGATATCTTTGGCACCGATTCGGCTTTATGAACAACTTCTAGTGATGGCTCGAGCTCGATCCTGCTTGGTGCACAATTCTGATTTTGGTGTTGTGCTATTGCAGCTTGTTGAGTCTGCTACATCTCGAATATCATTTAAATGCTAATTCTGCCTTCTTCGCCGCTCTGTGCGTTCTGATTGGCTGCTCGAGCGCCTCTGGAAACTCTATTTTCAGGGTCGACGCCCAAAATTCCATTAATGGAAATATGGGAGCTGACATCGATTGGGTCTATGGCCAACGGTCCATCAGGGTTGACTGGAGGTACTCTATTTCCTGGGGCGGCTATGTTTTCGTTCTTGCCATGAAGACCAAGGCCATTGTCTGTGTGCGGGTGCTACTTGAGAGTTTGACATGTTGATCCTGAAATCAAAAGATACTTACGAGAACAAGCAAAAAGCAATGTGTGTTATGGCAATTAATACCAGGCAATCACTATTGTCCTTATCCCCACGGTGGATGCCAAACTGTTTACCCTTAAAATTTGATAACAATTAAACTTATAGGTGGTTTTAAGGATACTTAATTTCACCTAGCACTACTCGATAAATATGATGATTAATAGTAAAAACAAATGGCAAAATAAAGCAAACTAGTATTGAAATGCAATTCAGCCATCAAGCATGGTCGCCCTCGAACTGAGTGAGTGAGAGTAGAGCTATGAAATAAACTGATGAACAAGAGAGTATGAGAGAAAAAGATTATTGTATTGCTTTGATATGCGAGAATGTAAGATGATTACAAAATGATTAGAACCCTCTTTATATAGTAAAGAAATCCTATTTATGGTATAATTCTAATTATAGAAGGAAATCACATGATTAGCTAAACTATCGCTCTTGATTTGATCTGTTTCGAGATTTCCGTCATGACAGTCACGGATATCTCGCCTTTCCGTTATTATGCTATCTTCGGTCTTGCTTGATGCCTATCCCGTTCGACCTAAATCATTACTGGTCTCGATCTCGACAAGTACCTCGAATCCCAAACTCGATGTCTTATCCTCATACGTCGGTCTGATATACTACAGGGCAGATCCTCGAGCCATCCCCCTGGTCTCAATAAATTAGTGAAATCGGATGGACTTTGTTTTAACCGTATATAGATAGTTCCCTCATTTTTTGGAGTATAATGACAAGAAACGAATTGAGTTCTCGACCTTTACCCCGATTTATCATGACGTCATCACCGTGACGTAAACGACAGAGGTGACCGAAACGTCCTTGGTACGGTTCCCCAGGTCATTAATGTGTGTCGGTTGATGGTCGGCCACTAGTAATTTCGAACCGTCGTCGTGAAACCCATAAATAGGCTCCTTTTCTACCTTTTCAAACTTTACTTTCAATCTTTCCTGCGCTAATCTTCAAAACTCTTAGCATTCTTCAAGTTTTTCGTCTGCATATCTTCAAGTTTCATTGCTAACTTCTTTTTAAAATACCAAATACTATCACGTTCGTCCTTTTTTAATCTCACAACCAAATGGCGAAAATGTCAAAGACGGTGCCACAAAAGGAAAAGGCTTCCTCATCAAGGCCCGCCGGCGAGGAGACCGCGGCGGAGCCACGCCCTAAAGAATTCTTTCCTCCACCGTGCGTCATTGATTATAATTTTAATGTCGAAAAGACTTCCTTAGTGCCAAACCGACGCAAGCCGATGCCAAGATACATATGTTCGATCTCCGATAAACTCTTCTCCCAAGTTAAGAAAGATTGCAAGTGAGGCAACAAGTGTGTAGTGGTGCCGACTCCTGAAGAATCGATTACCACCCATGTGGAGGGTTCTTAAGTGTTTACACCTACCCTTTCATGCTGGGTCCTTTAGATCCAATTATGGTGGACTTCTGCAAGAAGTACGAGGTCACCCTCAGTCAAATTCATCCTTCTTTCTGGAGGATAGTAGTATTGCTTCGATTTTTTGTGAGCAAAGTCGAGGGGCTCCCCTTCACCTTCGGCCATCTCGTTCACCTGTATAGCCCCCGACTTTATCGGGGAGGATTAATAAAGCTTCAACGTCAGGCCAACAAGGCGCCTTTCTCGAGCATAGACGAGGATAGAGATCGGGGTTAGATGTGCCGGTTCGTTTGAGTGAAGACCTCGGACTTAATCCCGCCCGAGAGTATACCCTTTCCCGAAATGTGGAATATGAAACGTAAGTATAATTCCGTTCCAACTTTCTGTTTATTGTCTTCGTTTCCTTATCAGTGTTTCACTTGGTGCAGCCGTTGCCTGGATGCCGGGAGCGGTTTCCCATCTCGAGGGTTGGGTTCGGAGCCTGGTATCGCAGCCGATGCACGCTAAGCGTGCTTGGCGTGACTTATCGAAGGGCCGATAGGAGGCCTGTAGCCATGGTAAGTTCCTCTCCTCAACTTAATAATTTGACCATTGTTCAGGTATTTTTCCGAGCTTACTTGTTTCTTTCCTTTTGCAGGTCTTGGGAAGGAGGTGATGATAAGGCCCCCGTCTGGTGAAGAAGAAACCTCACTCCCTGCCCCAAAGCCGGCAAAGGAAAGCAAAAGGAAAAGGACTTCGACGTCCAAGGGGCCAGAGCCTAAGAGTAAAGCGGCTCGAAAGTCCAAGAAGAATGTGATTCCCCTGTCCATGGAGTCAGTTCAACTCCTAAGAGAGGAGGATGAAGAAGAAGAAAATGAGGATGATTCCGATCTGGTGGCTCGAGCACGAGCTAATACCGAGGGTCAAAAGGCCTCCAGATTAGTTGAAACTGGAAATATTCTGCCCCTCTGTCGGGGCCCAAGAAGGGGATTCAGTTGGAGTCCTTGAGCCGATTGGAGCTGAAGGTACCTCACCTTGGGGTGAGAAGGCGTCAGAAAATGGTCTTATATTACCTCACTCGATTTTAACCGTATACACTTATATTTGTTTTCAGTAAGTGCATGTATATAATTTAGTGTTTTCCCAGCAAAGGAAACACTGTCTTTATAATTATTAAAGAACTCAACTGTTTTCTGCTTATGAATTAGCATTCAGAGGACGTCAATAAATAATTAGATAATGAAAACAAAATTGGAATCTCGATCAACAAATTTTTCGTCAACTTGAAAAGTATTTTGGTAAAAAGGTTTCTAGGAATTGAGTATACAACGCTAGGTCATGATTTTTTCAATAACCTGCCTAAATTACTTGAGATAGAGTTATTAATAGTTATGCGATGAAACAAATATCCGGCTAAATAATCAAAATACGATCGAACTATCCCAACATCATCTTTATAAAACAGCTAATCTTCGAGTTCTAATGGCAAATGTACTGTTTAGAGATTTCTTGCTATTTAACTTTTGCAATATATATATATATATATATATATATATATATATATATATATATATATATATATATATATGTATGTATGTATGTATGTACGTACGTACGTGTCAATCAGATTTTTACCAAAAGGGCCAAAAAAAAACCCCTATGGAGTTCTAAAGTTAGGTCTCCCTAGCTAGAATAGAAATCTTGCTAGTTTCAACGCGTAAAAAACATAGAGGACAGATATTTTGTTTAAGGAAACATTGCATGTGTTAAGATAAAGTGTCACACTCACACGTTGATTGACACGTACGATGGTAATTGTCTCTTTAAATGGTCTTGAATGAATTAATTTTTGAAGTTATATTAAATTTATTGTCTATTTATTTAACATGATAGCAATGTTGGTTTGCCCAATATTAGGTCTGCAAGCTATGTTATTCATATTCTAGATGTTAGGCCTTAGCAAGCGAAAATATATTTAAGCGTCACAAATTGATCGAGAAAATGAATATTGTGACGTCTTTACTTATTTTGGACAACTCTCATTAGTTATTTTTTGAGTTGTGTTCAAAGTTCTACTTTAACATATGTCAAACAAATCAAAGATCAAATCAATATATTATGTATCCATAAATAGAGAGAGAGATGATAAAATGGAGGAATACTAATTACTAGCTCTACCCAACTGATATAGTAGGCGTTTGGACATGAATTCTAAATTATTTTTTTCAAATTTAGAATTTTACTAAAATTTGAATTGAAGATAAAGTTGTGTTTGGTTATAATTTTTGCAACATATTTGGATGTTTTTTTCTTCAAAATCATGTAACATGATTTATACCTCACAACTTGTAAAAAATATCAAAATCACCCCAATTTGATTATCCTAGTTGAAATAAACAACCCATTGCCGGATTGGGATGGCAAAGGCAGCCGCACACTTTGGTGAGAAAAAGACCTGTGCGTTTTGTGTTTCTGTGGGTAGTTGTAGGTTAATAACCGATGGGGTCATTTTACAAATTTTAAAAATATGGGATAAATTTGTAAAATCAAAAACTAGTAAATTCCCATTTTCAATTGAAAAACTGGTTCTCACCAGTTTTTCAAATTTGAAAATGCATTTTCAAGTGAAATTAGAAAAATTGGTACGAGTTTGATAACCAAACATCGTTTTCAAAAAAAAAAATATTGAAAAAAAAGGAAAAATTTTGTATGTCCAAACGGGCTCTTAAACATTCTAGATGCTTGTTAACGTTATACTCTTTTCTTTCTTGTTTATACACCTTCAGTTTTTGAAACCTGCAATTCTGTAGATCCCCTTACCCATACCCCATGACAACTTTAACTACTCTATAAAGCTACTTACTATCCCCTTTTGGAGAGCCAATTACCCCCCCCCCCCCTCCTCTCTCTCACACACACACAAAATTGTATGTAGAAGTAAGGTTGTTTAGAGTTTGAATGGAGAATCAGTTGGGTCTGCTGAGAATCCGTATCCTTAGAGGCATAAATTTGGCCATTAGAGACTTCAGAAGCAGCGATCCTTATGTTATTGTTAGGATGGGCAGACAGGTAAATTTAGTTTCCCTAACTTTACATTTTTTGGCCACATTCTTGATTTCTCTTGGTAAATATAAAATTGTCATGAATTTTTATTCCGTAGTCTTTACAGTGAGATTCTAACTTTTCCAAATTACCCTTCTTTAATTTGGCCATTTTGAAAATCGCGTATTCCATACGCTGACCATATACTAACAGCTAGACAATTTCATACTATCATCTTCTTGCAAAGCTAGAAGTTGTAGTAATTATTTTCATGGTTTTTTTAATCACACCAAAGTTATGTCATTTTCAGGATTTCCATTCTGTAAAGCTTGACGAGAAAACCAAAGTAGCTTAATTTATCTTCTCTCTCACTGTTGACCAATTTTCAGTCTGTACGAATGCCAATGATGAAGGGGGGAAATGTATTGACTAAGGGTGTGTTTGGTACAAAGGAAAACATTTTCCGTTTTCTAATTTTTTCATATTTGGTTGACTTAAATATTTTGAAAAATATTTTTTTAATGAACTCATATCCTATTGGAGCATAACTCTTTCTCAAAATTACCACCCTTATTCCCCTCCCCACCGACCCCCACCTACTCACCCCAACACCTCCAACCCCTATTTTTTTTTCCATGATGTAGAAAAAGTATTTTCTTTTATTTCAATAAAATGATTACTTTATTTTCATGTTGCAGAAAGAATACTTTCTTTTTCAACCAAAAAAAGAGTATTTTCTTTGTAGTTATAGAGCATAAATTTCAATGTTGTTTTGCGTAAAAAAGTAAAGCAACACATTAGTTCATTTGGGTTTGTGTGAATTTTTAGAAGAATAATTAAATTTCTTGAAGAAAATAGAGTTCTGAAAACGTTGGTTATTTTGGGAAGGGGGGCGAGCAAGGAAACACGGAGATTTGGGGGAAGGGGGTGAGGAGAGTAGCATACAAAAATATTTTCTTGAAAAAATATTTTCTACTCTCTAACCAAACACTAGAATTTTTTCCGAAAAAAAAATTTCACTCACCAACCAAATAAGGGAAAATAAGTAATAAAACCACTAATTTACCATAAAAACACTTACTAGAAAAATCTTTTCCATAGAAAACGTTTTTCTTCGTGCCAAACACACCTAAATGGAGTTCCAAATGGTGTTAACTATATTCTTATGTTAAGCTTGTGTTTATTATTGGAGCAGAAATTGAAGACTAGAGTGGTGAAGAAGAATGTCAATCCCGAATGGAATGATGACTTGACACTATGTATTGCTGAGCCAATTTTGCCAATCAAGCTGGTAATTTCCTTCATTTTGTTGTCTTTTGTTTTATCAACAAATTAAACAGCTTATTGCATACTTTGCTTTACCTAGAGGACATTAAAGAATAGGACACGCCAACAACAATTAATACAGCCACACTTAATGTATCAATTCAGTCTTTGAAGGCAGCTTAATATTGGAGTACAAACAACAACAGCAGCTTAATATTAGAGTAAATGATGTAAATGTTTTCTTAGACATGCTCTGGGTCCTGCATAACTTGTAAACTTCTTGATTATCAAAAGAAAATTCAGTCTTTGAAGGTTAAACTATGCCTTTTAATTTCATCTAGTTTTGCTGCATATTCTGATAAGATATAGACATTGGGGCTAACTCAACCCCAAAAGCTAGCTCATGAGGTGAGGATTGCCCAAGCCATATAAGGAGACCAAGTCCCCCATCCTTTAGCCGATGTGGGAGGCTCAACACCCCCCGACACGTCCAGGCCTGCCAACTGGAACGTAGACAATATAATATGGGGGCCCAACATCGGTGAAACAAAGAATTGGGATGGGTCCGGCTTTGATACCATGTAAGATATGGAAATTGGGCCTAACTCAACCCTAAAAGTTAGCTCATGAGGTGAGGATTGCCCAAGCCATATAAGGAGACCAAGTCCCCCCGTCCCTTAGCCGATGTGGGAGACTCAACATATTCTTCAAGTTCCATCCAAGAATCTGATGAAGATGAAATTCTAGGGGCAATAGCTTCTTTTTCCTTATGCCATTGAGTGAAAAACTAGTTGAAACTGCCATTTGCAAAACGCATTAGGAGCAAACCTTGTTCAAGTTTCAAACTTTTAAAGATCATAGCAATAACAGTTTAAAGTGCTAGGCGACCTTTACAATTTCAGTTTGGAGCCAATTAATTAGCTTATGGGATTTGTTTCAATTACACAAACCCAGAGTGATCCTTATTGCCTTTATAACACTGTCATTGCAGCAAGTCTATGACAAGGATACATTCTCTCGCGACGATAAAATGGGCGATGCAGAGCTTGATATTGTACCCTTTATAAATGCAGTAAGGACGAAGTGCGCTAAGAACATCCCCAGTGGAACCATAATCACCAAAATAATTCCAAGCAGGCAGAATTGCTATTCTGAAGAAAGCTGTATTGTTTATGAAAATGGCAAGATTGTCCAAAATGTGTTTCTTAGGTTGAGAAATGTTGAGTGTGGTGAAATAGAGCTCCAGTTGCATTGGATAGACATTCCTGGTTCCAAGTGTCTGTAGCTAGTTGTATCCAACTATATATTGTGGACACCATGTACACTATGCTTTCTGGTTTTCAAAAATTTTAATGGCCTTGTAAAAAGTAAAAAAAAAAAAACTAGATGTTATAATTGTCTATATGAACACTGACATTCAACTAAATGAACTTGTCCTTTTTTTTCTTGCTGCTTACATGCTGACAAATTTGTCTGATATAGTTGCACTTTTTAGACCTGATTGGATCTGGGAAACATAAATTATATTCACATAGTCAAGTGTAGAATATGGATTCAAACCCTCTTATCATATTGTTGGATGTTAACAACTAAAAATTCGCAATTTTTCGACTACCAAAATAGTCGGAAAGTAGTCGAAATAGGTAATTCAAACCCTCTTATCATATTGTAGGATGTTAACAACTAGAAATTTGCAATTTTTCGACTACCAAAATAATCGGAAAGTAGTTGGAAAAGTACCTATTTCGACTACTTTCCGACTAATTTAGAGTAGTCGGAAAAGTTTTCCCGCCAAAAATTCGAAATGCTTTGTATTTCTTAAAGTTGGTCGTTCTTTAGCTTGGAAAAGCTTTGTATTTCTCAATCATGTAATCCATGGACTAGCATTTCTCCTACATATTATGTTTCAACAAACTAAACACCCTATAATATGACTCAGTATCGGATATATCCCTTGTATTTTAAAATCATAACACTCATACCCCTTATATTATGAAAATCCTACACATACATCCCGTATGAGGTATATATATGATTAAATATATCAAAATATAATTATTAAAAGGTAAATTTATATATAAATAAAATGTTTTTCTCATTTTCATTTTAGTTTGTTTTTTTTCTTCCACTTCAAAATTGTCTTAAATTTAGTTTCATTTTTTCCATTATACAAGAGGTTTAAATATTTTAGAAAAATAGGAATAACAATATTATATTAAAGAGTTTCGAGTGGTTAAAAATATTTTGCCAAATATGTAAAAACTCTAGCAATCTCATTAAGTAATTTTGTTAATTTTTATTTAACAGTTTAGAAAATCTTCAAAAATGTTTATTCTCTATTTTTTTAATCAAATGTGTAAACAAAGATTTGCAACAAAATTGTTTAGTCTTTTTTAAATTTCTTTAAAAATTAATTGATAAAGACTTTTTTTATCTGTAATCTTGTAATAATTATATTTTAATATAGGATATACCTCATATGAGTCTAGTGAAGCATAAATTTTTATAATACATGAAGTGCTTAATTTTGACATATAGAAGGTGTATTCAAAATTGAGTCATATTATAGGAGTGATTAATGTAATTAACCCTAACTTGTATACATATACGATATTAAGTTTGTGATTACAATTAGTGATGGATTGTGATTAAAATTAGTGAAAATGATAAAATTGCTTGGCGTGTATCCTCCTTAAGGGAAATGACACTCTTAAAATAATAGTCGAAAAATATATATAACTTTTATATATTTTTCATATATATTTATACATTCTGTATGTTATATAAAAAAGTTATACAAATTTTATACACTTTTTCGGCTATCAAATATATATAATTTTTGACACGGGCTAAAAGTGATAATACTCTTATCCTTAATAAGCTAAAGATCTTATTGGCTTAAGTATCCTTAATAAGGTGGGTTTGCAAGTATCTATTTAGGGGGTAAATCGAAAATATCCAGATTTACCACTGGTAATTGAAAAATAGCCCATTTTCAAAAGTAATCCGAATGTAGCTACTTTTTCATATAAAGATAAATGTTACGACCCAATTCTCACCAAAGGCAGCGATGGCACCCAACGCTGCAGTTAGGCAAGTCAACAATTTAATCAACATGATAATCAACGGTTCATAACACACTTTAAAATAATGGTGAAATAATTAAGTGAGATTTGCTCTGTTTTTTTATAGAAATTACTAACATTATCTTCAAAATTAGAATATTATCAAAATGCAATACTGAATTCCGTAACATAAATGCATCCAAGATTAATACACTAAATTTCCAAAATTTGGTGTCACTAGTGCATTAACATCTACTAGAATATACAATACTACTGCATCAACTGTCTCAAAATTAAAAAATAAATAGATAGAATGCAATAAATGAATAGAATGGGGACTCTGTATGATGTGGATCATCAAATGGAATGCAGCTCACTACAAAGTCTCCTCGGCGGCAACTGCAGCGCCTACGCGTATGTGTGACCACCAAAAATACCTATCTCAATAACTACATAAAAAGTGTAGTATGAATACCTAAATCAACGCGTACCTAGTAAGTATTTAGCCTAACCTTGAAGAAGTAGTGAAGAGAGATCGACATTGACACTTACCAGTGGTCCAATAAACAAAGTACAATAAAGGTATGCATGTACGAAGCATGTCAAGTAAAAGCAACGAAGCAAATGTATGTGTGTATCGCGATCCTCAATAGAAGAGTAAATACAAAGTCCCTCAAATATCGGATACTACCTCGAATGAAATAAATAATGATTAATACCAAATAAAATATTACATCTCAAGTCAGAAAGACTAATAGGTACGCTGATGTAACGACCCGGCCGGTCGTTTCATGAGTTTCAGCCCCGTTTCCCCCATTTTTGCTTCTTTATTTGTTGTTCAGCTATATTTCATCGTATCGTGTTGGTTGTTTTGTGTTCAGAACGGTCTTCGAGTGGAATGAGACACTTAGTCTCTTATTCGGAAGCTTAAGATGGAAAAGTCAATCGGATGTTGACTTATGTCTAGAAGGTCTCGGATGTAAATTCTGATGGTTCAGATAGCTTCATTAGGTGATTTTAGTCTTAGGAGCGTGTTCGTAATGTAATTTGGAGGTCCGTGGTAGAATTAGGCTTGAATTAGCGAAATTGGAAATTTGGCGTTTTCTGGTCGATAGTGGAAATCTTGATATTGGGGTCGGAATAGAATTCTATAAATTGGAGTAGGTCCGTTGTGTCATTTCTGACGTGTGTGCAAAATTTCAGGTCATTCGAGTGAGGTTTGATAGGTTTTGGCATCGTTTGCGGAATTCGGAAGTTTGGTAATCCTTAGGCTTGAATCCGAGGGTGAATTGGTGTTTTGACGTTGTTTCAGTGTTCCGAAGGTTGGAATAAGTTTGAATGGTGATATGTGACTTGTTCGTATGTTTGGTTGAGGTCCCGAGGGCCTCGCGTTGATTTCGGGAGGTTGACGGATCAAGGATGGGATTTGAGGAAGTGCTAAGAATTCCTTCAATAACCGCACCTGCGGAGTGGGGACCACAAGTGCGAGGTCCGCAGAACTGAGGGAGCAGCCGCAAATGTGGCCATAGGTGAGAAGTCCAGGAGCCACAGGTGCGGAAGGAGGAACAGATGCGGTTAAGGGAGAATAAGTGAAAACCGCAGATGCGGTTGGTTTGACCGCAGAAGCGGCGTCGCAGGTGCAACTTATGGACCGCAGATGCGGAAGTGCTGGGCAGAAAAGTATATAAGTTCACCTTCGCAAATTTCAGTCATTCTTCCACCATTTTTGGACGATTTTGGAGCTCCAAGCAGTGATTTCAAGAGGGAATCGAGGGATTTCAGTGAGGTAAGCTACTTGGGCTTTGTATTTTGTGTTTGTGATAATTTTTCCACCACCTAATCATGAAATTAGGGGGGAATTTGGGGTGAAGTTGAAGGATTAGAGCTTGAGTTTTAGAGAGCTTTGATTGGGGATTTGAGGGGCCGTTTGAGGTCCGATTTTGATGGTTTTGATATGTATAGACTCGGGAGTGAAAGGAGTTTCAAGTTTTTTAATTTTTGTTGGATTCTGAGACGTGGGCCCAGGGCCGAGTTTGAGTCCAATTCGGGATTTTTGGTCTAATTTGATTATTTTCATGTGGAATTCATTCCTTTAGCGTATATTGATGATAATATACTGATTTTGGTTAGATTCGGAGCATTTGGAGGCCGAGTCTGTACACCCCCAATGAGCGCGGGTACCCTGAGTGAGTGTTATGATGTTGCCGGAGGGGCTGTTCTTGATTCATGTTGTTCCCGAGGGGATGATTACGAGTGGTTGTGATGTTGCCCGAGGGGCTGATTCTGAGTGGTGTTATGCCCGAGGGGCGGTTTTTTGATACATGCTATTTATGATTTTCATCATTTTTACTCTAAATTTCATTGAACCTCTATTGAAATTGTTAGAGAAACATCTTTCAAAGGATTTTTACTGAAATTGGATTTTAACGAGATGCTTTGATTTATAAACTATTTTTGAAACATACTGTACCTACGGTGGTGTTTTGACGTGGATTTATGAGTTTCTTACTGCTAGTCTTTATTTACTTTTATTACTTATTGAGTTGGCGTACTCACATTACTCCCTGTACCTTGTGTGCAGATCCATGAGTTGCTGGTCGTGATAGCGAGCGCTGATCCTTTACAGATATCCGGAGTCGGCAAGGTAGTTGCATGGCGAACACAACCTTGCCCTTCTCCCTCTTATCTTCCTTAGACTATATTAGTATTTTCCAAACTGTGATAGTCTTAGTTGTATTCAGACAGTCCTTAGTAGATTCTCGTGGCTTGTGACACCCCGATGTCGGGCTTATGTTTCTTCCGCACTTTTTATTTAGACTCATGTTATGAAATTTTTATGAATTACTAGCTTCAAACATCTTTATTATGAAAAATTGGTTTGATTTGGGATTGTGTCGGCTGACCTAGTTTCACGATTGGTTCCATCACGACCGGGTTGGTTTTGGGGTCATGACAAGTTGTTATCAGAGCATAGGTTACATAGGTCTCGCGAGTCATGAACGGGTTTAGTAGAGTCTTGCGGATCGGTACGGAGACGTCTGTACTTATCTTCGAGAGGCTGCAATACCTTTAGGAAAAACTTCACATTCTTGAATTCTTGTCGTGCTAATCTGTTGATTCTGTTAACTAAACTTCTGTTATTCTATTCTCTCACAGATTGTCAGGACACGTGCTACCGATCAGGACGGACGACCACCAGTACCACCAGTTGGGGCCACTAGAGGCCGAGGCCACGGTCGAGGCCGTGGTAGGGGCAGAGGTGTAGCCCGCACAGCAGCTAGGGCAGCACCTGCAGATCCACCAGTCGCCCCAGTTCACGATCAGGTCCCAGTTGCGGATGCTCCAGCAGGACCAGCTCAGGTACCGGCTGTGCCTATTATT